AACTGAACATAATTATTTGAAGGTTGACTTTTTTTTTTTGTATTAAAAACACTTCTTTTTTGTATTAAAAACACTTCTTTTATTGGCCGGATGAAATATGCTAATTTTTTGAGAGAGGAATTTTGGGTTTTCATGAGCTGTATGCCAAAATCATCAGTATTAAAACAATAAAAGACCTGAAATATTTCAGTTGGTGTGCAATGAATCTAAAATATATGAAAGTTTAATTTTTATCATTACATTATGGAAAATAATTAACTTTATCACAATATGCTAATTTTTTTAGAAGGACCTGTATTGCCACCCATGGTAAATATGATCAAAGAAGGCTGTGAAAATAAATTCTGCATCGTTTATCCTTTTGATCTGTCATTAAAAAACAAAACAAAATCTAACCTTTCATTGACGTAAAACTGAATGGTGGCGGTGGTGGGGGGTCCACATAATTAAATAAATGTTTTTCTCTAACACACGTTGGCCACAACTATTGCTAGAAAATCTTATGAGTATAATATATCTGAAGTATATTCTCCGGCCATGATTTATATAGTATATTATATTTAGTATAAATATGAGGAAACTTAAAGGCCAAATCCCGTTAATCATCCATCACAATAAGTAAAACCAAAGAATATAGTTCTGATGTGCAGCAAAAGATTGTTGAGCTTCACAAAATAGAAAGTGGCTGTAAGAAAATAGCTAAGGCATTTCCACCATCAGGTCAATAAGTGAGAAGTTCCAATTACTATCTATACCATCTTAATGTGCAGCAAGGAGGATAGTTTGAGTGGCCAAAGACTCTCCAAGGATCACAGCTGTAGAATTACAGAAAATATTTGAGTCTTGAGGTCAAACAGCACCTAAAATCAATGTTGTTTGGGAGGGTTTCAAGAAAAATCCTCTGCTCTCATACAAATGCAAACTCCAGCACACTCAGTTGTCAGACACGACTGGAACTTTAAACGGAACCGGGTTCTATGGTCAGGTGCAAACAGGGATAAAAAAGTACCCCAATGCCTGAGGTTAAATATACCACTGGATCTTTAATGTGGTGGGCCTATTTTTTTGCTAGAGGTCCTGGACATCTTGTTCAGATACATGGCATCATGGATTCTATCAAATACTGTACCAACAGATAAAAAAATCAAAACCTGACGGCATCTGCTAGAAATCTTATAATGGCCCATGGCCAACAGGACAACGATTCAAAACAAACATCAAAATCAACTCAAAAATGGGTCAATGAGCACAAAATTAAGGTTCTGCCATGGCCATCGCAGTCCCCTGACCAGAATCCTACAGAAAACTGAGAACAGTGTAATGTATCAACATAGACTTGGGAATTTGAAGGATCTGGAGCAGAGATGGGCAACATTGGTCCTGGAGTGTCGTTGTCCTGCAGAGTTTAGCTCCAAACCTAATCAAACAAACCTGAGCAAGCTAATCAATGTCTTCAGGATTACTAATGCTAAAGGCAGGCGAGTTTATATCAGGGTCGGAGCTAAACTCTGCAGGACAGCGGCACTCCAGGATCGACGTTGCCTATCCCTGACCTGGAGAGACTGGAGAACTAGACCTGGAGGAATGATCTCTGATCTCTTGTCAGGTGTTCTCCAAACTCATCGGGTATTATTGGAGAAACCTCAGAGCTGTTATATTGGCAAAAGGAGGTTGCAAAAAGTATTGAATAAAAAGGTGCCATTAATTGTGGCCAGTGTGTAATAGAGAAAAACATTTATTTCATAATGAGATTTTCCACCATTTTAAAAAGTTTTCCTTCAATGAAAGGTTAGATTTTTGTCCTTTTTAAAAAAATAAAAGGTCAATAGGATTAACAATGTAGATTTATTTTCTACATATTTATCAAGGGTACCAAAAATTCTGACCACAACTGTATACACACAAATACTTGTGTATGTGTATGCATATACATAAATATAAGAAATAATCTAAATATTAACAGGAAAATGTAGCGGTAAAAATAGGGGAAACTTTTTTCAAAACATGAAATCTGAAAGAAAAAAAACCCCACCAAGTGACAGATATAATATAGATAGAAAATAAACATTCCAATTCAGCCTGCACTTCTATTCAATTCTGTTGGCAGGCTCTGTGAGGAAATCAGCACTTGAAGTGCCTCCGATATGTTACAAAAACATCTGCAGTACAACAAACACTGGTGCATGATTATATGGTTAAGTGGAAAGTAATGGTGTTATTAAGTATAAAACAAATAAATAAAACTCATGAAGAAAATAAAAAAATATTCATCACATGACTTTGTACAAAAAAAACAAAAAAAACAATATCACACTGAACCAGTACTGGTTGCTTTGTCTACTATTCACAAAGTTGAATTTCTATAATAGTCCTCATATTGGCAAATGCTGCCAGCTCAAGATCCATCACATGGATAATTCCTCTTCATACATGAGTAGCACACATGTATAATTGTTTCTCCTTTTTTCTTGCTAATAGTCCATAGTCTATTTTAGATTGACAACCAGACAACATATCATAGCTGGTGAATATGGATGAGAACCAAACCATATCAAAGAGTAAAGGGTATATACTGTATATATGATCAAAATCTAATTTGATCTCATCTAATGAGATTGCAGATTTACCCACAGAACAGCCAAAATAAACTTCATAAAATAAGATGTGATAGTGGCTACATTTACATGCATAAACAACCTTTTCTTCCCTTTTATTCTGCATATGGAAACATTCTGTGTAAAGTTATACACAATATGACAGTATCAAGATAAAGATGACTGCATGAGATTCTTATAAAGAACTGTCTATTCTTCTAATTCTATTTGAATTTTAATAGTATAATGGGTGCACTTCATAAAATATATAAAAGTTGAGCTGCTTAGGTTAACCCTTGTGTTATGTTGCGGGTCAATTTGACCCGTTTCGATTTTCAAGTTGTTGGAAATACTGGTTAACCTTTGTTTTTTTTCTTGATATTTTGTGACTTTTTCTCATTTATCATGATGAACATGCATGCAAAGTTTCAACATGCTGATGTGTTTTGACATATACAAACAAAATTACTGTTACGTTCGTGATGTTCGCGGGTCAATTTGACCCTCATAGACAGCCATTCAAAAGCAACTGTACAGACACAAAATAAAAACATTTATTTTCTGTATGTCAGGGCACTTCAACTCCAGTTCTAACGTGCAAGTGCATCTAAAAGTGCTCTAACCCTAACCAAACACACTTGAAAAAGCTAAAATTACAGTGTTCAGAATTATTTGCAAATTACAGATGAAAATCTTTGTCAGACACAGATAGTAAAATAAGCTCTCATTTCAATATTTAAAATATCTAAAATACCTAGCTTTTAACCAAAAATTTTTATGTAGGATTTTCAAAGGCAGCTTCACAGAGCCAAAAAATAAATAAAAAACATTTATTTGATGTATGTTTTTGTTATGTTTGGTTTCTCACTTCCCAGTGAGTGAATAATGAAACTAGGAAAATAGGTCTTAGGAAACTAGGGAAAGTTAACTTAGGAAAATGAAAAAATTTCATTATACAGCAATTTTTTTTTGTTCAGTTACGATGTTCAAAGCATAAAATGTAAAAATAAAATAAAATAAAAAGTTAAAAAAATATATGCAAAAAAAATCAGTATACTGTTTATTTTCCAATTTTGTCAAAACAAAACTGTTTTAAAAAATGTTTTAAAAACATTTTCATAAATCATATTTTCAGATATAATGTTTTTGTAATGTTTGACAAATGTTGATATTAAAAGTTTACAGTTTGTATCTAAATCTTTGTCGTTTTTCATAGTGTGATTTTTGAGGAATTGTATTGAATCCAATTAGGGTCAATTTGACCCGGTCCATAAGGGGTGTACACAGAAATCGAACAGAACACAAGGGTTAAGGTGACTATGCCAGAAATTTACATACACTAGTAGGCTATTCGTTTTTTGGATATACATCACAGCAGGGAAGAAAAGACTATCGCAACTTCCATTTCATGCTGACTTTAAACGTCTATGAAATAACAGATAACATTTGAAAAGACATGAGGCTTTTATGTGGCTTATTTGAAATACTGCAGTCACAGATAATACAGGAACATAAACTTGCATGTAAATGCAGCCAGAATGACATTTATGGATAGTTTTGGCCATTGGAAAGACTTAAGCTTGCCTTCAGTGCAGAGGTGGACAGTAACAAAGTATATTTACTTGAGTACTGTACTTAAGTACCCTTTTTGAGTATCTGTACTTTACTTGAGTATTATTTTTTCTGGAAACTCCTTACTTAAACTTCACTACATTTGAAAGACAAATATCGTACTTTTTACTCCACTACATTTCTGTCAAGGTCCTTGAGTAGAAAGTAGTAACGTCAGTCAGGGGATGATTTTGGTTTGGAAATGAAAGTCAGATTGACGTCAGAACCCGACGTCGGACAGACGTTGGATTTTGGTTGGAAATGAAAGTCGGGTTGACGTCAAAGCCAAAAAAACTTTAAATAGGGCACTATTTGAGGGAACAGCCATTTGGGTGTCTGAAACCATTGTGGACATTATTGAGTGCACTTATTCAATCTCACTATACTGGAACTGTGTTCTAGAAATAAATTTGATATTGATATGAGGGTAGGCAGGCATAGATTCAGAGGCATAAGGTACTGTAAGTATTACATACAACAATAATAAAACAATGCATTACTTTTGATAGTCAAGTACTTTTAAAAAGGAGTACTTCAGTACTTTTACTTAAGTCAAAATCGGTCTTTACAACTTTTACTTGTAACGGAGTAATATTTGACCAGTAGTATAATATACTTTCACTCAAGTAAGGAAGTTGCGTACTTTGTCCACCTCTGCTTCAGTGTGCTGGTGCTGGATTGAGACCATAAAGGTCTTGTGGTGATCTGTTCTTGATCATCCCCAGAGAAAGTGACTACTGCGGAGCTCTGGAGACAGGGGATTGCTTGGGGGGGGGGGGGGGGGGGGGGGGGGGGGGGCATCTTTCTGTGAGGAGGTCCACAGGGGTCTGGTCTGCACAGGCTGGTCCCGTCCTTCAATCCTAAGAATCAAACCTCCACTGACTGTATCTGGTTCATTTGGGCACGCATCATCTGCACACTGTTGAGAATCTTCTTCTGGTGGCCGGCTAGTATGACTCCCACCTTCAGAATATCTCTGCGAAGACAGAAAATGGGGCGTAAGAGACATAAACTGCTTAAAGTCATCGTCAAAGAATGATCTAAGCAGATAAGGCTATCAATGAAATTTACGGTAATACTGTAGGTTTCCGGTGGGTACAACATCTGGTCCTGTAACTTAGTAAAGAAAATGATCGATATGAATCCAGTAAGCTTTATGGAAGATAGTGAAAACATACTCCATAGTCATTTGAGACACCGCTTCAAAGGTAGTTAGGTCTTCATTTGCAAAGTTCTCCTTGTACTGGCCCATTTTAATGGCGTCCAGCCATTCATCTACTGTGCTGAAGCTGGAGAAGTCTGGTGTGCTGCGGTCCAGCAGAGGTAAATGTACGCTGTAAAACACAAACAGATTCAACATCACTAGGATATAACGTGTATTTAAAAAAAGTGTATTCTGCAAAATTAGAAATAAAATGTTTCAGACAGTTTGACCTAGTTGAAGGAATTAAAAATGACACACTAGAATTCAGAATTCATAATAACATGTACTACCGTTCAAAAATTTGGTCTGTAAGATTTTGTAATGTTTTTGAAAGAAATCTCCTCTGTTCAAGTCCAAGGCTGCATTTATTTAATATTGTGAAATATTAGTTTAATTTAAAATAACTGTTTTCTATCTTAATATATTTTAAAATCTAATTTATTCCTGTGATGGCAAAGCTGAATTTTCAGCATAATTACTTCAGTCTTCAGTGTCACATGATCCTTCAGAAATCATTCTAATATGCTTATCTGGTGCTCAAGAAACATTTATTATTATGTTAAAACAGTTGTGCTGCTTAATATTTTTTTGTGGATTTGTGTATTGTAGGAAACATATGCAGTCAGTTTTATTTTTTTGGTCCATGTGGTCCAGTTCACAAGCTCTAAAAAGCTCTAAACAAGCTCTTTGCTGTTGAACTGTACACATCACATACTGAGTTCTGAAAAGTCTTTCTCTGTAATGTTTTTTTTCCATGGGTGCTTTGGTGTGCATACATTTGTTAATCATATGGACCCCTTATATCATATGGTTATTAGGTGTCCTTTTGGAGTCTCCAAGTGTCTTTTTTTTTAAGACACCTACATTTACCTTAAAAAAAAGCTTGCAGAAAATACAGTTTTGTGAGAATCATCCTTCAATCCTTCAATCATCCTTCACTACTTTGCTAGATATAGCAAATGATGACAAAATAAACACGTTAAACATGATACCCTTTTGATTACAAATTAAACATTTGATTCTATTGACAGCCCTAGTCTAAACTTAACTTCAAATTAATTGAATAAATGGAAAATAAACTTATATAAATATAAGTTTACAAACTTATATATAAAAAATAAAAAAAGCATATCTTTAAGATGCAAATTAGGCAAAATTTAATTTAATTTGAATTTAAAACTAGATGGCGATATTTCTGAATTCTAATTATAAAGTGCAGACTTGCCAGTGCTAAGAAAACTGAATTGTAATCATTGTTTTCTTTTTTTTACACAGACTAATGAATTGAATTCAATGCTCAGTGCTTGCTGACCCCTTCAAGCCTGGGTTGACCCAAAATAAAATCTCTTACCCTGAAGAGAGAGGGGTGGTAGCCTTCAGGCTGCCAGGATTACGAATCATCTTATCCAGAGTGTTAACAATCTGACTGAATTTCGGACGGTTGTTTCTGTCCTTTTGCCAGCAGTCCAACATTAGTTGGTGCAGTGCATTTGGACAGTCCATCGGAGGAGGTAACCTATAATCCTGCTCGATTGCATTTATTACCTGGGGGGATGGGAGCAGAAATGACTAAAGAATGATTAAAGAATACATCAGAAACCTCATAAAATCATACTAAACTAAACATGTTCTTGAATGCACTTGTAGATAGTGTTTCATGACATAATTTGTCCACTAGGTGACATCCTTATCCAGCTCTTTATGAATGTACAGTAGCTTGATGAACAACCATCAATATGACCATGTAATCATATAAGAATTGATTCCATACATCTTGATTGCTCATGTCCCAGTACGGTCGCTCTCCATAGGACATGACCTCCCACATTACAATCCCATAGCTCCACACATCACTCGAGGATGTAAACTTCCTGTATTGAATGGCCTCGGGAGCAGTCCATCGTATTGGAATTTTCCCTCCCTGTGTGGACACTGAATTTAGTTAGGTACTGAACACATAATGCGTTAGCATGAATTATTAGGTCATATCAGGCCATATGACCCACTGAACACACACTCACCAGGGCACTTGTGTATGTAGGATCTGACGTGTCATCTTCCAGAAAGCGAGAAAGCCCAAAGTCAGATACTTTGCAGACTAGATTGCTGTTAACCAGTATGTTGCGGGCAGCCAGATCGCGATGTACGTAGTTCATGTCACAGAGGTATTTCATGCCAGCTGCAATGCCACGCAACATGCCGACCAACTGAATGACAGTGAACTGGCCATCATTTTGCTAAGAGGACATACAGAGAATACAAAAGTATATCAAATATATTACAATACTATTAAAAGGAAGTGTATAAGGATACACATATATTTATTCTGTTCATTATGAAAGGAAGGCATTTCTAGCATTATAAAATCAGTCTTTCTAGCAAAACATCTTTGTTCTGTGAGCTTGTGTCGCAATCTTGTGGAAAAACATCTAGAACTTAGTCCAGCTGTGCCTCTATGCAGACACATCTGGGTCCTGCCCAATGGGATCCTGGATCAGCTAAAATCAGCAGAAGGACAAGTGCTGTCACACATTGTGAGATAAAAAAGCTGAACTGAATAGATTTTTGGAAAATGTAGCCAAAAATATTAGTAAAAAAATAAATAAATCCATAAATCTAAATGTACAGAATTAAAAAAAACAAATGTGGCTTGTAAATAATTAAGATAAGGGGAAAAAAATGTTGTGTGATTATTGCAAGTCATTTCTTTATATATATAAATGGCACATGCTGCCTAAAAGGTGCACTCACATTTTTTTACATAGAAAAACAGGAAAGAAAAGAAATACAACACCGTTGAAAAGTTTGGGGTCAGTAAGGTTTTTCTCTTTTTAATAATATGTTTAATTTACCGGTAGCTGAAAAACATCAAATTGATCAAAAGTGACAGTGAAGCAATTTATAATGTTACAAAAGATTTCTATTACAAATTGCACTTGAGCACCAAATCAGCATATTAGAATGATTTCTGAAGGATCATGTGACACTGAAGACGAGAGAATTGTTGCTGAAAGATTTGTCATCACAGGGAATAAATTGCATTTAAAAATATTCTCAGATAACAGTTATTTTAAATTTAATTAAATTAAACATTTCCTTTTACTGTTTTTACTGTATTTTTAATTAAATAAATGCAGCCTTGGTGAACATAAGATACTTCTTTCAAAATCTTACGGAGCCCAAACTTTTGAACGGTGGTGTAAATATTTCTTTTGGGATTTTTTTTTAAAATGTAAAATCATTTACACTTAAAATGTAATGAAGATACCAGCCACATCAGTGTCCTAAATAATACAATATATTTTATTCTACATAGAGCGGGTCACATTACAGCTGAATTTTACTGTCACTGGACAATTTAACTTGTGGAATAAATCAATGCTGGTTAACTGTTAAAGGTGCCCTAGAATGTTTTTTATTATTATTTTATAATGTTTCCTGGGTTACCCTTATAACGTTAGTATGTTTTTTAGATAAAAAAATAATCATAATTTAGAAATAAATGGCATTTTTCCTAGCCTGCTTTTAGCCTCTGATTTGAACACTCTGTTTGAAGGGGCGTGTCTGCTGTGGGATTCAGTGTAACCGCGGCCACTGCTGTGATTGGCTGACAGCTTGCATATGAAATATCAACGCATTACATGTGAAACTCTCTCCCGAATACTTTTACTACAGCTATTATACGTTTTTACTATAACAGCTATCGAGATTAACGAATCGTGAGATGTTTTTAAAGTATTTAGATCTATTCCCATCACATAAAATGTTGCCGTGATGAGCATTGAGCAGATGACAGTGTGTTGATCGCGAGAATGAAGATCTTATCATTGCAAAGCAGTTTCTGCACTCTCTCTAATGCTTTCACCAATGCAAACACGATGATGTAAATACAGTAAGAGCTTCGTTGTGCAGTAACGTGCGTCATTGATTTCATAACGAGTTTGGCAAGTGTCCAGATAAACTCGCGCTGTGTGGAAAGATTGTTCTTTGATCGCTTTCTGTATATAATTTGCTCACAATTTAAATACGATTATTTTCATCCTACTAAAAGAAACGATGTGAAGCTGATATTTTAGTCACTGGCTTGACTTACTGATGCATAAACAGTATTGAACGATTTTGAGAGAAAGATTACCTGTCAGAACTTGAACAATTACACATCAGAAAGTGTTGCTTGGTAGCTCGATCCGAGGCCAGCTCTGTATTGGCCCAAGTTGAGGAAACAGTCGGTGAAATGTTTGGAAATTTCCAGAGAAAATAAAATTAACCCATTGTTTCTTCAGAGGCTCAGATGAAGGAACTAAAAAATACTTATGTGTTCATGTGTACATCCACACTGAGCAACTGCCATGCTTCGGCTGCGCAGTTCCGCCTGGCATTGAGGGCTGGCATTATGCAAATATTTGGAGGCGTGCATATTAATGATCCCGACTATTGCGTCACAGTCGGTATTGTGTGGAGAACCGACTGTTTTTCAGGGGTGTTTTTCATAAACGTGAATTAAATGAGAACGCGAAAACAGTCCAGTTTGAGATTCACTCTATGTCATGTCCATGCACTGAACTCTTGTTATTTGACTATACCAAGGTAAATTCAATTTTGAATTATAGGTCACCTTTAAAAGAGCATTTTTAAATTGGCCATTTTTCTTTTTTGCGTGATACTGCATCCACACCACTAGGTGTCAAAATTTAACATACAAAATTTAAGGGCACTTTTAGGGTACGTTTACACGACAACGATATGCTTAAAGGGTTAGTTCACCCAAAAATGAAAATTCTGTCAGTCACACATGTTAAATCGCATCACACACATGACCAGCGTCGGCCAATAGTGAGCCTACGTGTAACGTGCAACACAGAAGCTTTGCGCAATATCACTACGTGAAATCTCAAGGCCCACAGGGAAGGAAATGAATAGTTGAATAAAGTCGTTATTTTTGTTTGTTTTTTGCGCACAAAAAGTATTCTCGTCGCTTGAAAAACTTAAGATTGCGCCACTGTAGTCACTCGGACTATTTTAACGATGTCTTTCATAACTTTTGAGCCGGCCAGTTTCTATCCCTTAAGAAGCCTATGGAGGAGTGATCCAGCTCTCAGATTTAATCAAAAATATATTAATTTGTGTTCCGAAGATGAACGAAAGTCTTACGGGGTTGGAACAACATGAGGGTGAGTAATTACTGAAAGAATTTTCATTTTTGGGTGAACTAACCCTTTAAAACGGAGAATTTTTTCCTTTGAGTTTTCCGTGTACAGACGACACCATAGTCAAAATGATCCCCATTCGCACAGATCCGCGAAATCGAATAAAAACGCTGTATTCTGCTGCCAGGCCGTTAGATGGCGATGAAACACTATAGACTGAACATGTAATACGCATGTGCATGACGTCATCATCTTCAGAGATTTGCTGTTTTTTTGCTGTTTACACAGAGACCATTTTCAAAAACGTGCACTTTGAAATCCGTTTTCAAAAGTTTGAGTTTCCAGGCACCCAAAATGTAAATGAATGGCCAAAACGCATAAAAAGTTTTACGTTTTTTGGTTGAAAACAGTGTCGTGAAAACTTACCCGAAGGAAGGAGTCCAGTGATCCGTTCTCCATGAATTCAGTAATGATCATTACTGGAGTGCTCTTGGTCACCACTCCCTCCAGGTGGATGATGTTGGGATGGTCAAACTGCCCCATGATGCTGGCTTCGCTCAGGAAGTCCCGCCGCTGCTTCTCGGTGTAGCCTGATTTCAGAGTCTTGATGGCCACCAAAATCTCCCTCTTCCCAGGAAGCCTGAGATTACCGCTACATACCTCTCCAAACTCACCTAGACAGTTAACCCATATATAGACCAGTTGATTACACCTCAGGAAATGTAACATAAAATTCAATTAGATGAATATAATTAAATTAGCAGCCTGGTTTACTAAAACTTTGTTGCTCCTTTAACAATAATTAAAGGTGCGAACACATCAAGAGCTCCAGGCTTTTTGCTAGATTGTAGCTGCTTTCTAATTAACGGTTGATTTGCTTATATGCATTCGACTAACTAGATGAGATGGTTAGACTGCAAATCAGCACTCTATGCAATTCAGGCATATTAACATATTCCTAATTGATGTGAACAGTGACATTCACCTGCACCAATGACTTGCTCGATTTTCACACAGGTCACGTCTATTTCTTTGGCAAACTCGCGCACTGCCTCATTGGGATCCTCATATGTGAAAGGATCAATGTAGATCTTCATTCCTGGAGACACTTAGAAAGAGAAACAGGAGCTGCAGCAGCAGATGCAGATGCAACAGAAATATATGGCCTATATTGTAATAATTATATTTCAATGATTCTTGATAGATGGGGTGGGACAAACATAATTTAGCTAAATAGCAACATTTCTTCTTTAAAATTAGAAGATCACCAAAATGTCAACAGAAATGTACAATTTATTTTTATCTTTTTGTTTTAGCGTAATTACAACACTACATTTATATATTATATTATTATTATATTATATAATATTATATTATGTGCATGTTTTCACACTGTCACAAAATAGTAAATATACATTTTAGAATATTTATTTTAAAGTAAAATACTTTTTTTCCACTGCTGTAGCCTGTTTTGTTCCATATCTCAAGAACCACTGATGTATAGTTTAATTATTTAAATAACTAAATTAAATGTGATAATATTATAATAAACATCAATACAACATGACACTGCTCACATGGCAAACAAGCTAAACAATAAAGTGGGAGCATGCAAGCACTTCTGGGAGAGGACATGAAGCACAAATGAATTATGGTTTCTGCATGTATATGCTGAGTCAACTAGCTTAAGTGCACATTTTACCAACACCATATGGACCCATTCCAATACACTGCAGTTCATAAAGTGGCATTGTGTGGTAAAGATCTTCAAATTGTAAGTAAAGTTGTGCTGTGGTTTCAATGTTTATGTGTGCTGTGCAGGCAGTCTGCTGTTTTCATTTAATGATCTGAGTCTTGTTTAAAAAAAAATCAAGTAAATATTATAAGCACAAATGAAATATATGTCTGAATGGTTTACTCACTGTGGCCGCTGGTGTAATGCTGAATCTTGTCAGTGTATTCAGACTCTGTCCTGTCACTGCCTCTCCTGATAAGACCCCAACAGGAAGAGGAAGTCAGAAGAAAAACTTTCAAGCACTTTAAAGCTCTTTCTCAGTTTATAAGAGAAAGAGGAAATAAAACATCTGTTCAGTTCTAATTGTTTCCAGATCATGATAGATAGTTTTATTTAATGCCATGTCAGCATCTAAGGCTATTTTCATGACAAAAATTCAATTACAAAAATACAAATATCATATAAATACAATAAAAACAAGCAAACAAACACAAATCATATTATACAAATTTTTTTTAATTAACATATGATAAAAAATCCAAAACCTGTTCAGGCATAATCTTACTAAATAAGTCCTTAAGTGAAATAACTTCATGATCTGGATATAATACAATGCTCTTTTATGATTACCAACAGACTCACCGATTACAGACGATAATGAGCACAACCACCGCGATGAGAAAAACAACACCAGCCGCAGCAGAGCCGATAATGAGAGGCAGTTTCTCCTGCAGGCTGGAGTTATACTCGTCTTCAGATGTACACATGGCAGACACAAAATCAGATCAGTTAGGCAGAGTTTTACATCACAAAAGTCTTTTTTTTTTATATATAAATAAAATAAAACAGACCTGCTGGAAACATTATAATTTCTCATGCTTTAACCAAGTACATTTGAGGTTTCTCCACATTTTAAAGATGAACATTGACATTTGAAACGCAGGGGTATTAATCTAAATGTTGGCAAAGAATCAAGATACACATACAAAAAATTGGGGCTCTGTAAGAGTTTTTTTTAAATGTTCTTAAAACAAGTCTCTTATGCTCAACCAAGACTGCATTTATTTGATAAAAAAATTCAGCAAAAATGGTGATATTTTGAAATAATATAACAAAATAGAAACTTTTCTATTTTAAAATGTAATTTTCAGCAGCCATTACTCCAGTCTTCAGTGTCACATGGTCCTTCAGAAAACATACTAATATGCTGATATGCTGCTCATGAAACTTTTCTTATCATTAATGTTAAAAACAGATGTGCTGCTTAATATATTTGGGGAAAATGTGATTAAAAATATTCCTGGATTCTTTGATTTTTTTTTGTAACAATGTAAATGTCATGATCAGTTTAATGCATCCTTGCTGAATAAAAGTACAAATAAAATAAAATAAAAAACTCTTACTGAGCCCAACCTTGTAATGGTAGTGTATATTTTTGCTGCCACATTTTATATCACAGTGTTGTTGAATTCTTGATTCTGATTGGCTGACAAACATTCTTAAAGGTGCAGCATGCAATATCCCAGAATTGTTGTTGAACACTAGCCTGGTTAAAACCAGACCATTCTCAGTTGTAACTGAGTTATGGTCTGGCAAAGCGTCATAGACAAATCATTTCCAGAGGGGCGTCACCAATGGACGTCGCAGATAGACCTAAAACCAATCAGAGCGATGAAGGAGATGACGTATGCAGAGCGGGGGGAGAAACATCTCCGAGTGTTGTTCTTTGCTCGGTTTTTAACAAAAAGGAAACGTTCAAATCGCTCAAAACAGACGCGATAGCTGATTCGAACGAGTGATGTTCGACGGCGACATCATCTAATGTAGGCTACAAAATCTGCTTCAAAATCCCAGCGCTGTCGTCATCGTGTAAAGCCCGCCCCAACGTTTCTGATTGGTGCCGCGATTTCGGCGGATTGGAAATGAGCTTGAATGAGCTCTTTGCCAGACTAACTTTCAGAGCAAATCTAAATTTGCCGGAAGTTGTCTGGGTTTTCCCAAGCTAGTTAAACACTGTTGATATTTGAAATCAACCCAAACAAACCCACCCCCTCTCTTCATTGCCCCGCCTCCAAAATTCATGAACACTTTTAACTAACTCTAACTGGTCTCGAACCCAGGTCGTCGACATGCGAGACTGTCGCGCTAACAAGGACGCTAAACACTGAATTCTCTAGTTTAGCATCACCAGCTGGCCTGTTACACTGCACACACAATGCAAGAGTGGATGTCTATTTACCATAGCAGAAGCTAATCAAAACAATGATTCACGAAAAATAAAGCGAAGATGATTAACGAATGACAAGGAAGCACAAAAAATGAATGTGCATACACTAAAATAAATACAAGCAAGAGTTGGTTGTCACCAGCAGCACAGCAGCTCCATACAAACAATGACACTCAAAACTGTCCTGTAACTATGGCTAACATTACAACAACAGCATTTCATTTCATTTCAGAGACAGGAAAGCAGTATTTGCCAGACTGTGGCACCTTATTAACTATTGACAATTGCATTGACTTGAACATAAATAATCAGACTACTATTTAGGAAAGTAAAACAGCAAAGTGTTTAGTTTCAAAAGCCCAATACCTTCAGTCATTGTTTGGAAGAACATCTTCCCACTGAACCGTCCAAAGCCCGCCACTGTTCGGGCCCGTACCTGGAACACGTAGATGGTCCCCTGCTTCAGGCCACGGATAACTGCTGTATTAGTCTGACTCCGCAGCAGAGAGGAGTTCGACTCAGCCGTATACTAGATTTAGACCACAGATCAGAGATCATCATAAAATAAAAGCCATACAGAAACCTACATTAGCATTTAGAATTAAATAAAATGGTGCATATTTTTGAAGAAAGTCAATAACTCTAACAATATAAATGAACTAAATTAATTTAAGCTTGTACAAGAACAGAACAAATACATCCCCAAGTAATTGTTTATTGCTTTAAAGTTCACCTCAGTTTAAGTCCATTGAATGAGAGAAGAGGATCGTGTTCAGTACTTATTACCTTCTCATAATATTGCAGCTCATAGTCCAGAATGACCCCATTGGGCTGGTCTGGCTGGGACCAGGACAATGTGATACTGTCCACAGCTCGGTTGACCTGATGCATAATTGACACAGCAGATGGAGCTGTAGAGAGGAAGATGAAACAAAAAGGAAACAAATGAGAAATATATATAGCTGGATATACATAAAGTTTAGGAGTTCATCTGAGAATCTTTTCATGAAAAATGAGCTCATAATAAAGAGTGGTTCTTAATCCCGACAGTGTTTCGATCACCACACAGGATTGCAGCCAAACCAAGGACACTCTCTAACTTTAGAATGACTTTCATTAAGAACATTAAAATTAATGTTAAAATAAACTCTATGATTTTTAATATATCATTAAGTAAATTACTTCGATTTTCATGATTAATTGTAATGAACGATTATGTTCGATATGTTTTATACAGTATGTTTGGGGTCAGCAAGATTTTTTTTCAAATAAATACTTTTATTCAGCAAGGACGCATTCAATCGATCAAAAGTGACAGTAAATATTTTTCTAATGTTACAAAAAATTTCAACTTTAAATAAATGCTGTTATTTTTAACGTTCTATTCAAAATGCTTAAAAAATCTAATCAGTTCCCTCAGATACATTTAGCAGCAACTGTTTTCAACATTGATAATAATAAGAGATCCAACAAAGATCAGCTATAATGTCTATAGTTCTGGAGCTAGAGCTCACATGCTAACTGGCCTCTGCGTAGCACTCACAATTCCCTGGCACCCGTGCCGTTTTGGATATAGAGGAGCCATTATGTCAACTGCAGCTTCAGACTGACTACTAACTGGAAAGAAAGACTCTGGAAGCCCATGTAACACTTCATTATCATTTACAAGCCTTAAGAAGCAAAAAGACAAGCGTGAAAGCTGGCAAACACTATGGCTGCTGATAAAACTGCACTCATGGTTTAAAGATCAAACAAATCACAGTGCCTTAAAGCCAACCGATGCCTTGTATGTGAAGTTTGCTCCTGGCATGCTTGCTTGGGTGTGTAGGGAGGAATGCCAAATACTGATTCCCCAGACATGCGTGATAAAATATAATAGGTAAGACAATATCTCAGCATTTTAATCCTTTTCAAATACTCTGATACTCTTTCACATGTGCCATCTCTGTATAATGATAGCTGTTAATCCCAAAGAAAGATGTTTTATACGTTGTATTTATAGTTGGCTGATGGTTGATTGCTCGGAGAGTTTGAGGCCTCAGGTTGTTATGCGTTCTCTGTTGCCGATCAGAGCTCAGGAAAATTAAGCTCACAATGTTGTGTAAAAAATATGTCTTGTGCTATTTAGTTTCTCTGTAAACTTCGATCCTGAGCTTTGATTAAGTGTTTTTCCATGCGCTAGTTTCGATGGGCAGAACAGGCTCTGTCTTGATTTACTGCGCTGAATGGTGGGATGGTGTGTGAGGAGGATGGGATTGTTGAGAAGTTGAGCGTGCCATTGTGTATTTTGGAGAGATTCATCCAAACAACACTAGGAAAGACAGATGTGATTAGACTAGCACTCTAAATAGGAAGACGAACCATTTCAAACAATCACAAAATTCAATTCCTCAGACGCATGTAACTTTTTCACCCCCATCATTTGTAAATAAGCTGATGACAGGACTGCAACTTGGGTCATTATTAAAGACAAGCCAGTCAAATTGTCATCATTTACTCAACCTCACATCTTTTGAAACCAGCATGACTTTCTAGTTTTATACAAAAAAACTGAAATTTAATGTTCAAGCTGCTCTTTTTCATACAATGAAACTGTAAATGGTGACCATACTGTATGATCCTTCAGAAATCATGCTAATATGGTGATTTGCTGCTTAAGAAACATTTGGTAACACTTCACAATACGATTTCATTAGTTATCATTAGTTACCTACTGTAGTTAAAATGAACTAAGAATGAACAATACTTCTACAGAATTTTTTTATCTTATTTAGTTAATTCTAACATTTACTAATACATTATTCAAATCAAAAGTTGTTAATGGACTGTGTCTTCTTACATGAACAAATAATGAATGATTTTTATTTTTATTAACTAGCATTACCATTAACAAATGAGACATGATTGTAAAAAGTCACCAAACATTTATTTTGAATTCAAACCTTTTGTAACAATGTAAATGTCTTTTCTCTCACTTTTGAAATCTTATTGACTTTTGATCAATTTAACGCATCCTTGCTGAGTAAAAGTATTGATTTCTTTAAAAAAGTAACTTACTGACCATAACCTTTAGATCAGTAATACATATAAAACTCATTGGACTACAATGACAACAAAAACAAAAATACTAATATCCTTTGAATCTTGTTTATTCTAGTAAGCACCGATGGTTTGTTTAACACTCTACAATATTTCAAAATAAACTCAGTTTCTAAAGTTGAAGAAACCCAGAGCATCTGAAGAGAATCCCCCACAGGTATGTGGCTGTAAAATAGAGCAAGTCATAATATATGAAAATAAGTTCTCTCGGTTTGATGAGGTGATCGGTTTTCCAAAGAGTCTGCAGTAAGTGGTACTTCATCATTCCGCTGCTCTCTTTGACTGCAATTTATGAGAAATACAAGTAGTACTCTCTCAGTGAAAAACATAAATTCATATGTCCTTGCGGTATTCTGGAGGAAAATAAGAGGAACCGATTACGAGCATTTCCATCTGAAATGGAGCTCAGAATCATTATTTTCTCCACAAGAATTTCCACTGTGGCAACTGACAAAGTCATTTCCTTGTTGATCGCAGCTTAAAACAATGTAGACTTGAATTAATTCTCATTAATGGGAATACCTACAAGCCTAATGTTTCCAAAATGGAGGTTCTTATGGTATGGACCATGTTATATATATATATATATATATATATATATACTGTATATATATATATATATATATATATATATTATTGAAATTCCTTCCCTTAGGGTTAAATATCTAAAATAAAAGAATAAAAAATAAATAATATTAATAATTTCCTTTTGCTGTTTTATTTACTTTTAGGACCCTTCCTAACTTGATTCACATTTCATGCATTTTATAAAACCCATTAGCTTTTATAACTTAGTACTGTAAGTTTGTCAGAGAAACATTATTAATAAATCCCTGAGCGTGGGAGGACGTTTATAGTTCCTGAGTGCTGTGTAAACCCGTGGCTGTTGAGCTCACGCTTAGGCTCTGGTTGAGTCCTGGCATTGTCCCCTCTCTCTGTGTTTTGGGGACGCGGGTGGTGTGAGGTGGATTTTTGTCTTTTAATGGCAGCAGTGAAGCAGTAATGTGGACTGACAGGCACACCGGTGGAGCCCCAGCCTCCAGTGATAGGGCCAGCGAGTTCACTGCAGCACAGCCGGGGGCACGGCTCTCATTAAAATGCTCTATTAAACACTATTATGTTCCTTTTGAACTGGTTCCTTTTGACTGACATTTAAAATCCCTGTACAGAGCAATATGATGAGTGTTGTGGACTAGCTTTCAGTCCTCTGATAAAATTGAAGGAACATGAGAAACCTGATCAGGTGAAGATAAAAAGATGCAAACACATCAGTTTCATGATGAAGTCCTCTAATACTCAAAGCAGCAGAAAAACAAAAAACTGGGCAACATGAATAGTGAGACTCACAGAGATACTAGTGTGTGACTACAGTCTGGTGATGTGCAATACAACATATTTACAAAATCAGCAGGGATCTAGAGATGATACTAGACAACAACAAAAAAACAAAAAAAAGGTATACGAAATTGTAAATAAATAATTAAATAAACATTTACCAAAATGTGATAGTATTACTTTCAAACTAAATACTAGCTGGAATATATTATATGGAATATAATAATTTAATATATTATATTATATATATTTCCAGATAATATTTTGCACATATTTATACAAATATATAGTACACATTTATATATAGTATGCATTATATATAATATAATATAATATACATACATATATATATATATATATATATATATATATATATATATATATATATATATATATTCAATATATTAAAATATGTATATTTATATACACATCTGATATATACATATTTTTGAATTAGCTTTAATAACATATTTGAAAAATATATATAATATATAGTATAATAAAATAGCAATAATTATATTATTATTTATTAAATATATTGTTATAAACATTTATAATATTTATTAATAATATAAAATATAAATAGGTCTTTGCACATACTTTAATATTTACTTTTACTACTACTATTATTACTGTTATTTTACAATCATTTTTGGAGGTCGATGGCATCAAAACGTTTGAAAACCCCTGAACCAGTCGAACTTACTATTCAGCTTCAGTTAAAGCTGCTGAAGGTAACTTTTGTAAAAAAATATTTTTTACATATTTGTTAAAACTGTCATTATGTCCTGACAGTAGAATATGAGAAGGATAATCTGTGAAAAAATCAAGCTCCTCTGGCTCCTCCCAGTGGTCCTATTGCCATTTGCAGAAATACACGCTCCTGGTCAGAAACAACCAATCAGAGCCAGGAGGAATGTCTTAGCAGTGTCAATCACGCTCGTGTACGCGCTGATCACACCCCTCTCTTGCACAGCACGTACCGTCGTTCAAACTCAAGATTGCTGGTGTGCCGCAGCTGTGCTTATGATGGAGAAACAACCTAAACTGCCAATTTCTCGAAGGGCACCTGCTCATAAAACAAAGAGGTAAAAGGAAAAAGACTTATGACGATAAACAAGCGAAAAAGAAAGAATTAGACAGAGCCCATTGACTCTGTGTCAAAACTCTAGCCGCGTAACATGTAGATAAAATGTCACGCACTGTGCAAAGCAACAATTGAAACCTGCTAATTCACTGGCTTGTCATGTTGCTGAAATAATGTACTAGCAAACCTTATCTAGCATTAGGCCTACATTCCGCTAGAATAATTACTTACATACTGTTACGTTAGTTACCGTTATATTATCTTACTAGCTATTTATAACTTATAGAAAGGGTGCAACGTTACAAAGTTACATTACATGTATTGCAAAATGCGTAATGATTTGAGGACCAAGTTTGTAGTCAAAGTATGGGCAGGCCTTAGTCAATGTAAAGCATATTGTTGATGTTTCGTCCCTACTAGTGAATGTGCCATAACTGGTTATCCGCCGTCATCGGTGGCCCTGGTGACTAGCCTGCGCGTTCACGGCAGGCTCCGCTGTGGGGGAGGAGCTGTGGAGGGAGGGCTGTAGCGCAGCAGAGAGCAAGGGGGTGGGACCTGTAAGTTGTGCTTGTTCAAATTTTCAGGCTAAGTCAATGTTTTCTCAAAACTCCCTACTGCAGCTTTAAGTCTAGTCTGACCCATTCCTGCTACATAGTCTGTCTACTATTGCTTTCCTGTAGCACAAACAGTGCCACGCTTGCAAAGCCAATGTCATGGGTTTGATTCCCAGGGAAAGCAAGAACTGATAAGAATGTAAATGTGTACCTTGAAATGCAATGCAAAGTCGCTTCGCTTTGGATAAAAGCGTCTGCCAAATGCGTAAATGTAAATGTATTACTGCTGCTGCCTGTCACTGCTCAGTGTATTTTATCCGTATACTAATTTCCAAAAAAAGCAAAATAGCAGGAAAAAAAGCTAAATAAAAGCTCCTGAAATTCAAGGTCAAATTCAGCCCACAGCAAGTTGAAAACATTTCGACTATGAACATCATCTGCGATGTCTCAAACTGTAACTGGAGTTTACTGCGGTCTTACCAGCCTGGTTTGTGGTGATGTTGACAGCGGTGAACTGAGGCGAGTAGGGACTCTGGTCAGACACTCCATTCACAGCCTGGATCTCAAAAGTGTACTGCGTGTGGGCCAGCAGGTCACTGATATGGACCCATGAATCGGTCAGGCCCAGTTGGCGAGGCACGAACTGCACGTTGTCACCGCAGCGAGTGCATGACCCTCGACCCGAACCACAGCTCTTGCAGATGATGTTGTAGACCACATCCTGTCGACCTCCGCTCTCCTTCGGCGGATCCCACTCCAGCCGCAGGGAGGTCTCGTTCACGCTAGAAATCACTCTATGGGGCGCAGACGGAACCGCTGTGGAAAGAGAAACACTGCCTCATCAGCAGGTCCGTGTCTTATCGGGACATGAGTTTAATTAAACACAAGCCTAGGAATTCTTGGATTATGTGGTGTAATGTGCAGGAAAAAGTATGTGAACCCTTTGAATTTGTCTTTGAAATTTGATCTGATCATCAAGTCGCAACAATAGCCTACCTAAAGTCACCCTAAATTAGGCCTATGTGATGTAACTTTACATGTCCTGTCCCATGTTTTTTTCCCCTCATAGTCTGCTGGGTTGCTGACTTAAGCACATTCTTCTAACTGCTTCGTCTTGTGTCTTTATGATCGGATTTTAGCCTTTATGATCAAGCCCATTATCATTGTTCCTTTAAAAAAGAAACTGGATCAAAGTAATCTCCGCTTTCTAACAAGCCACATTAAAGTAACAATTTCATAATGGGTAATGACAAGAGATGAAAAGAGAAGTGGTTCATTGTAATGTAAAACAAGAGTTAAAGAGAAGAATGTTCTCCTCCCTCTATTCTGGACACAGTGCAGCAGTTCAGATTACTGACAGCGTAGAGCACTACTCCACTATTCACACAGGCTCACCCTTCCCAAAAGAACAGAGCATTATGCAAATCTCGACGGGTCAATCTCGCTGCTCGGTGAGTTACAGCAACGAATGAATGTTCAGTGAGTTACGCACACATTTTCATTGGCTGCACTTAACTGAAGGTTTAAAAAGGGCAACCGCATACAAAAATGAAAAGACAAAAGACTGCCTATAAGCTCAAGCAAGTCTCCTGTGCTAAAGTTGTTTTTCTGAGTAGGGATGTCAAAATGACCAGTACTGTGTGTGAATGAAGATACTAAAACAAAGTAGTATTTTGCAATAGCAGTCTTTTTACAGTATAAACTCAATTCAGAGGGCTCTCGGGTTGATTAAAAGCATAAAACTGCTTTTAAATATGCTCATATGTGTATTTGAACCAGTGCAATATGTCTTGCAAATGCAATGTAAACTGTAGCTTAATAAACCTGCCACTGTCTATTATATCATTAATATATATCAAATGGCAATAATAATATATAATAATAATAATTACAACAATAATAATAATTGTTATTATATGTAATTACATTATTATATAAGCATTGTATATAATTATTATTATAAATAACACTATTGTTGTTAATATTAATAAACAACAACAACAACTATGATCTTTATTACTAGATATGCACCAATAATAAAATTCTGCCTGACAAGTCAATAATTATTTTTATCTTATGGATAATCAATAAATGACAGCTATTAAAATTCTATATTATTCTGTCTAAAAATATATATATAATAAAACACTAAAAACTCAAATCAATCAATTTAAATGCTACAATTAAATCACAACATACAGTAGGAAAAATGTATATTTATTTTGAGATTTGCAATATATTGTTATTAAATTACTATTTTTAAATGATTAACTTCAACTGAAAGTTAGATTGTAGCAAAAGTAAACTAAAACAACAACAACAACAACAGGAAACGAGCAGCACATTTAAATATTAAATGATAATGATATATATATACAGTATATAAAAAATAATCTGTAATATTTTTTTTTAAACATCTGTAATATTGTCCAGTAACCAATATGGTATACTGATATATCAGGCATCCTTATTTATTACCATCTGTACTGTGAAAATCCTATTTCTGAGTGCTTTGTAGATCAAAGCCTGTCTGATTTTCCAAAAAGAGAGTCAAAATCACTGTAAATGACATAAAATAGCATAAGAAAATGACATACTGGTGCATGGCATCTGTAGAGGGTCAGAGTCGGTACGGTAGTATCCACTGCGGCAGATACAATTGGTGGCACCCTCGTTGGTGGTGCGGCTGTTGATGGGACACTGGAGACATTGCTGGTCCCCTTGAGAGGCTTTAAAGGACCCAGATGGACAGGCTGCATTAAGAAAGGTAGAGAAAGTTTACTATAGTGAATAGCAAATCAGAATAAACAAGTAAATAATTTAGGGATTGAAGTTCATTTTTGTTCCTTTGAAGATCTATCACACATACATTAATATCTGGAGCTCACATTAATGTCTCCCCACGAGCACATTTTCTTATAAAACAGACATCTTTATATTTCTGTTTGGAATCGAAGAGAAACATAGGAAGGAAGTATCTGATGGGCCTCTAAGTGCAGTTTTGAAGCTTTATCTCGCACTGATAATCTTTTGTTTGGCACACAAAGAGCCGAATGGCACTCAGATATATCTGTGGAATAAACTAACAAAGACCTTGTTAAATCACAGCACAGCTTTTCCTTGCTGACTAGTCTTACTGAAAACAAAATGCAAATGCGCTTGTGCTATTCAGAACTAATTCTTTTTTAAATTAAGAATTTAATTACGTTTTTTGAAAGCTTTCTTTTAATAAGGTCTGAACTGGATATTTAGGCAATGGTTATTCTTCAACTGCTTCAGCAAGAATCTGTGTTGCCGAAAAGAGATGTTTACATGATTATGCATATACTGTACAATTCATAAACAGACCAACTCTTAAACTTCAAAATCCCACCATTGAAATAAAAAATAACAGCAGTAGAGGAATAACAGCAGTTTCAAAAGATCACATCATATAATATTTGTAGTATATTATATTGATGTCATGTTGTATTTATTTTAAACCTTTCATTTATCTTCCAGGGCATCTCAGTCTATAATCAACTTTTAATATATATTCAGTTTCCCCAATTTCTGAACAGAATCAAATAACATTTTATAATACTTTCCTTCTGAATTTAATATTTACATGTGAATTTACATTAACAAGTTAAATTATTTAATGAAATACTTTGGTAAACAAATTATTCACCACACTGAAATTAAAAAACATAAAATATAATTACACATGTGTTTTATGGGCATAACTCCATCTTGTTAGCTAATGTGACAAGCTGCCTGCATTGAGAGTATGACGAGGAGCAGCAGATAGTGCGTGAAGTTATTGTTATGACAACCATACATGCCAACTGATTTGCTGAAAGTATTATTTGCTGCTCAAGAAACATAGCTTATTAATACCAGTGTTGAAAACACCTGTGCTGCTTAATACTTTTGTGGAAACTATGATACCTGTATAATTTTTTTTTAATAATTTAAATGAAAAAAAATTCAGGATTCTTTGATGAATAGAAAGTTCATCAGCGTAAAATGTAACAGTAAATAACAGATTTTACATTTTTGGGTGAACTATTCCCTTTATAAGTCATTGATCCTAGCAGCTGAAACTATAGGCCCATTTCGATTTTTAGTGAATAGTCAGGACATACATAGGCCTACCTCATGAAACTGGGATTTTTTTGGGTGAATCAGAGCGTTAACACATACATAATTTAGAATATACTTAAGTCCCCCTGTAGTCAATAATTGGATCTCTTAAAACTCATCTTTGATCACCAAAATTACATATTTAATATATTTTTTTCTTGAAAAAAAAAAATGTCTTCATGCCTTAAAATAGCTTGAATATAACCCTACACCCTTGCCTCATTTAGTATACGTGGTTCTATGAAAATGCAAATTATCCCCGCCTCCACTCATTCAACACCAGCTCAGAGATCCACTCGTTGACGATCACACGTTGAAGTGATTGGTTACGAGGTATAGTTTATGATGTCAGAAATTTCTCCAGCGATTTCAAACCATGTTTTTGAGACTGTTTCTGGTTCACTGCAGTAACAGTTTTAAGGAGAAAATACTCAGCAATGGTGCTGACATATGAATTTGCACATGGTTTGTCTTAAAGCATATTAAAAACACCACATAGACATATTAACATCAAAAGCTTGATTTTCACCACAGGGGGACTTTAAAAACAAAACCTACACCATCCTGTCATGTGACAAAATCTAAAAAACATTTTCCCACAGACAGCAAGACAGACATCATCCTTTATTTGCTCACAGCAAATTAGTCAACAGCTGCCTCATCTGCCCCTCGGCCAAAATAACCTCCACACTCACAATAATACAAGCGCTTGTACCACACAGAAATAGCCCACTGACTCCGGTTGGAAATCAATCAAAGATTGAGGGTAGATGTAATATGAGTCACATATCATCTGCAGGTGCAAAGCAATCAACACTTACCAAGAGCAAAGTGTGTTCTAGGAAGTACAATGAAACTCATTCTATTAGCCTAATACCCCAAATGGCTTTGACAGTAAAACATTACTCTTGGCTGGCGCTCTCAGCCTATGATTGATGACAGAACATTCTCTTTCTGCCAGAAGGAATATAAGGCTTACACGCTCACACATCACAGTGAGTTAGAGCGGTGGACGTGGTGAATGAGGTGTTGGTTACAGTTGAATGAGGCAGAGTGGGTGTGAGTGACAGTGTACAGGAGTGGAATTAAATCTGTGGTACCACAGGGCTCCACAATAGAGATTGTGCTGTGCGAGAGGGAGTACGACAGAAGAACAATATCCTGGCGACATATTAGATGTGTGTGCCGAGTGTTCTGTACATGACTAGAGTATTTAAGTAGGCGCTAATGGATTTCTGGGAGAAATTGATTAAAGACTTTAAAATCTTACAGATCTGTTTATTTTCATTCCTGTGAATAGTTGTGCTCTTTTATTATGAGGCAGATTTTACAACAGAGAAATCACTGTAATCGTCTTGGTATAACAGTTTATCCTTTGGTGAAATACATTTCCATGCCTCTTAAACGCAAACTAACTTATTTAAAGGTGTGTAATTTTCTCAATGTTAAAATACTTTCTACCATGTCTTCTAAAATACAAGGACAATCGGTTTATGCTGGGAATCCAGACTTGTTTGAGAATCCACACCAGCCCAATCTAGCTCAACCAATGGCGTGAGTTTGGGGAGGGACTATCCGTTTAGCAGACCAATGGAAGATGATGTTAGTGTTCGCAATAACATTTATTTTTTATTTTTTAACAATTCCATTTGGCGATGCCATTACTGGTTGTTTTAGGGTGGTGGTGATTGAATTAGTGAACTTTTCAACTGATTCTGTCACGTTTTGTTTTATGTCAGTCATGTTTCATGTCTTTGTCATGTGATTCCCTGTTAGTCATGTGATCCTGCCATGTGTTCTGTGTTGTCATTGGTTCCTTTTTTCATTGTTCACAGGTGTCCCTTATCTAGTCATTAGTCTTGTGTATTTAAGCCCTCATGTTTGCCATGTGTCTTGTTTCAATGTAAGCTTCACGTTCATGTTTCTGCTTTGATCACGTTTTGGAAAAAAAGCTGCACTTGGGTTCTCATCTTAAAGGTCCCATAACATGAAATTTTCCCTTTCTGAGGTTTTTTAACATTAATATGAGTTCCCCTAGCCTGTATATGGTACCCCAGTGGCTAGAAATTTCAATCGGTGTAAACCGAGCTTTGGCTATCTTTCTTTGCCTTTGAGAAAATGAAAGCTCAGACGGGCTGATCTTGAATCTCCTCCGTATGACGTCATACGGAGGAAAGGTAACCTCCCCTTTCTCTACTTTGCCCGCCCAGAGAATTTGGCTCGCCCATGAGAAAATGAGCTAGGAAGTATGAACGCGCGAGCGCGATTTGAGTTTTTCCTCGAGAGATATCATGGCTTGCAAACGAGCGAAGCATGGCAGTTGATCAGTGTTCGGATGTACAAATGAACACAAAAGTATTTTTTAGTTCCTTCAACCGAGCCTCTGAAGAAACAATGGGTTAATTTTATTTTCTTTGGAAATGCGCCGACACAACTTCCCAAAGTTTTGTATGGTCCAAACATTTCACCGACGACTGTTTCCTCAACTTGTGCCAATACAGAGCTGGCCTCGATGAACGTCTGAAAATAAATCGATCGAGCTACCAAGCAACAATTTCTGATGTGTAGCCTAATTGTTCAAGTTCAGACAGGTAATCTTTCTCTCAAAATCGTTCAATACTGTTTATGCATCAGTAAGTCAAGCCAGTGACTAAAATATCAACTTCACGTCGTTTCTTTTAGTAGGATGAAAATAATCTTATTTAAATTGTGAACAAATTATATACAGAAAGCGATCAAAGAACAATCTTTCCACACAGCGCGAGTTTATCTGGACAACTCGTTATGAAATCAATGACGCACGTTACATTGCACAACGAAGCTCTTACTGTATGTACATCATCGTGTTTGCATTGGTGAAAGCATTAGAGAGAGAGTGCAGAAACGGCGTTGCAATGATAAGATCTTCATTCTCGCGATCAACAGACTGTCATGTGCTTGCTCAATGCTCATCACGGCAACATTTTTTTGTGATGGGAATAGATCTAAATACTTTAAAAACTTCTCACTATTCGTTAATCTCGATAGCTGTAATAGTAAAAACGTATAATAGCTGTAGTAAAAGTATTCGAGAGAGTTTCACATAGCTATTTCATATGCAAGCATGTCAGCCAATCACAGCAGTGGCCGGTTACACTGAATCTCACAGCAGACACGCCCCTTCAAACAGAGCGTTCAAATCAGAGGCTAAAATCAGGCTAGGAAAAATGCCTTTTATTTCTAAATTATGACTATTTTTGATCTAAAAAACATACTAACATTATAAGGGCAACCCAGGAAACATTATAAAATAATAAAATAACCCCATGTCATGGGACCTTTAACTTGCCTTCAGTGGACTTCATAACATTACAGATTCATGTGAGTGATTGAATCAAAATATTAATTTCATTGATTTGTTATGTGAGCCTTAAGGTGGAGTTATTTACAAAATCCAGTCATTTTTCAATAGGTGTCCGCACAATCGAATGTCATGTAAAATATTTCCCCATGCTCATTTTGTGTCGGGTTCCAGTTTTTCATGGAAATTCGCCACAATTACCAACAGAATGCTTGTTTTAAAAGTGACTTCTATGTGAATGATGGTTCAAACCTCACTTTTTTTTTGCAGATATCTCACTGAAATTGC